AAAGGGATGGGACTGTTAGGATGATGGTTGTAACTGGGTTGGACCTTCAGGATGATGGTGGTAAAGGTGGTGGGACTGTTAGGATGATGGTGGTTAAGAGGTGGGACTGTTGGGATGATGGTGGGTAATGGGTCGGACTTTCAGGATGATGGTGGTAAAGGGATGGGACTGTTGGGATGATAGTGGTAAAGGGGTGGGATTCTTGGGATGATGGTGGTTAAGGGGTGGGACTGTCAGAATTATGGTTGTAAAGTGGATGGGACTGTTAGGATGATGGTGGCAAAGGGATGGAACTGTTGGGATGATGGTGGTAAAGGGGTGGGACTGTCAGGATGAAGGTGGTAAAGGGGATGGGACTGTTGGGATGATTATGGTAAAGGGCTTGGACTTTTAGGATGATGGTGGTAAAGGGGTGGGACTGTTGGGATGATGGTGGTAAAGGGGGTGGGACTGTCAGGATGATGGTGGTAGAGGGGGTGGGACTTTTAGAATGATGGTGGTAAAAGGGATGGGACTGTTGGGATGATGGTGGTATAAGGGATGGGACTGTTGGGATGATGGTGGTAAAGGGGGTGAGACTTTTAGGATGATGGTGGTAAAGGGGATGGATCTTCAGGATGATGGTGGTAAAGGGGTGGGACTGTTAGGATGATGGTTGTTAAGGGGTGGGACTGTTGGGATGATGGTGGTTAAGGGGTGGGAATGTTGGTATGATGGTGGTAAAGGGGTGGGATTGTTGTGATGATGGTGGTTAAGGGGTGGAACTGTCAGAATTATGGTTGTAAAGGGGATGGGAATGTTGGGATGATGGTGGTAAAGTGGTCGGGACTGTTGGAATGAAGGTGGTAAAGGGGTGGGACTGTTGGAATGATGGTGGTAAAGGGTTCGGGGCTTTTAGGATGATTGTGGTAAAGTGGTGGGACTGTTTGGATGATGGTGGTTAAGGGGTGGGACTGTTGGGATGATGGTGGTTAAGGGTTGGGACTGTTGGAATGATGGTGGTAAAGGGATGGGACTGTTGGGATGATGGTGGTAAAGTGGTCGGGACTGTTGGGATGATGGTGGTAAAGGGATGGGACTGTTGTGATGATGGTGGTAAAGGGATGGGACTGTTTGGATGATGGTGGTAAAATGGTGGGACTATTGGAATGACGGTGGTAAAGGGGTGGGACTGTTGGGATGATGGTGGTAAAGGGGTGGGACTGTTGGGATGATGGTGGTAAAGGGGTGGGACTGTCAGGATGAAGGTGGTAAAAGGGTTGGACTGTTGGGATGATGGTGGTAAAGGGGTCGGGCTGTTGGGATGATGGTTGTAATGTGGTGGGAATGTTGGGATGATGGTGGTAAAGTGGTCGGGACTGTTGGAATGAAGGTGGTAAAGGGGTGGGACTGTTGGAATGATGGTGGTAAAGGGTTCGGGACTTTTAGGATGATTGTGGTAAAGTGGTGGGACTGTTTGGATGATGGTGGTTAAGGGGTGGGACTGTTGGGATGATGGTGGTTAAGGGTTGGGACTGTTGGAATGATGGTGGTAAAGGGATGGGACTGTTTGGATGATGGTGGTAAAATGGTGGGACTATTGGAATGACGGTGGTAAAGGGGTGGGACTGTTGGGATGATGGTGGTAAAGGGGTGGGACTGTTGGGATGATGGTGGTAAAGGGGTGGGACTGTCAGGATGAAGGTGGTAAAAGGGTTGGACTGTTGGGATGATGGTGGTAAAGGGGTCGGGCTGTTGGGATGATGGTTGTAATGTGGTGGGAATGTTGGGATGATGGTGGTAAAGTGGTCGGGACTGTTGGAATGAAGGTGGTAAAGGGGTGGGACTGTTGGAATGATGGTGGTAAAGGGTTCGGGACTTTTAGGATGATTGTGGTAAAGTGGTGGGACTGTTTGGATGATGGTGGTTAAGGGGTGGGACTGTTGGGATGATGGTGGTTAAGGGTTGGGACTGTTGGAATGATGGTGGTAAAGGGATGGGACTGTTGGGATGATGGTGGTAAAGTGGTCGGGACTGTTGGGATGATGGTGGTAAAGGGATGGGACTGTTGTGATGATGGTGGTAAAGGGGTGGGACTGTTGGGATGATGGTGGTAAAGGGATGGGACTGTTTGGATGATGGTGGTAAAATGGTGGGACTATTGGAATGACGGTGGTAAAGGGGTGGGACTGTTGGGATGATGGTGGTAAAGGGGTGGGACTGTTGGGATGATGGTGGTAAAGGGGTGGGACTGTCAGGATGAAGGTGGTAAAAGGGTTGGACTGTTGGGATGATGGTGGTAAAGGGGTCGGGAATTTTAGGATGATTGTGGTAAAGGTGTGGGACTGTTGGGATGATGGTTGTAATGTGGTGGGACTGTTGGGATGATGGTGGTAAAGGGGTGGGGCTGTCTGGATGATGGTTGTAATGTGGTGGGACTGTTGGGATGATGGTGGTAAAGGGGTGGGACTGTTGGAATGATGGTGGTAAAGGGGTGGGACTGTTGGGATGATGGTGGTAAAGTGGTCGGGATTGTTGGAATGATGGTGGTAAAGGGGTGGGACTTTTAGGATGATGGTGGTTAAGGGGTGGGACTGTTGGGATGATGGTTGTAAAGGGGTGGGACTGTTGGGATGATGGTGGTTAAGGGGTGGGACTGTTGGAATGATGGTTGTAAAGGGGTGGGACTGTTGGGATGATGGTGGTTAAGGGGTGGGACTGTTGGGATGATGGTTGTAAAGGGGTGGGACTGTTGGGATGATGGTGGTTAAGGGGTGGGACTGTTGGGATGATGGTTGTAAAGGGGTGGGACTGTTGGAATGATGGTGGTAAAGGGATGGGACTGTTGGGATGATGGTGGTAAAGGGGTGGGGCTGTTGGGATGATGGTTGTAATGTGGTGGGACTGTTGGGATGATGGTGGTAAAGGGGTGGGACTGTTGGGATGATGGTGGTAAAGGGGTGGGACTGTTCGAATGATGGTGGTAAAGGGGTGGGACTGTTGGGATGATGGTGGTAAAGTGGTCGGGACTGTTGGAATGAAGGTGGTAAAGGGGTGGGACTGTTGGAATGATGGTGGTAAAGGGTTCGGGACTTTTAGGATGATTGTGGTAAAGTGGTGGGACTGTTTGGATGATGGTGGTTAAGGGGTGGGACTGTTGGGATGATGGTGGTTAAGGGTTGGGACTGTTGGAATGATGGTGGTAAAGGGATGGGACTGTTGGGATGATGGTGGTAAAGTGGTCGGGACTGTTGGGATGATGGTGGTAAAGGGATGGGACTGTTGTGATGATGGTGGTAAAGGGGTGGGACTGTTGGGATGATGGTGGTAAAGGGGTTGGACTGTTGGAATGATGGTGGTAAAGGGGTTGGACTGTTGGAATGATGGTGGTAAAGGGGTGGGACTGTTGGGATGATGGTGGTAAAGTGGTTGGACTGTCAGGATGAAGGTGGTAAAGGTGTGGGACTGTTGGGATGATGGTGGTAAAGGGGTCTGGACTTTTAGGATGATGGTGGTAAAGTGGTGGGACTGTTCAGCTGATGGTTGTAAAGGGGTGGGACTGTTGGGATGATGGTGGTAAAGGGATGGGACTGTTGGGATGATGGTGGTAAAGGGGTGGGACTGTTGGAATGATGGTGGTAAAGGGATGGGACTGTTGGGATGATGGTGGTAAAGGGGTGGGACTGTTGGAATGATGGTGGTAAAGGGGTGGGACTGTTGGGATGATGGTGGTAAAGGGGGTTGGACTCAGTGGATGATAGTGACAAAGGGGTGGGGCTGTTGGGATGATGGTGGGAAAGGGGTGGGACTGTTTGGATGATGGTCGTAAAGGGGTGGGACTGTTAGGATGATGGTGGTAAAGGGGATGGGACTGTTAGGATGATGGTGTTAACAGGGTTGGACGTTTAGGATGATGGTGGTAAAGGGGGTGGGACTGTTAGGATGATGTTGGTAAAGGGATGGGGTTGTTAGGATGATGGTGGGAAAGGGGTCGGACTGTTGGAAGGAATGTACTTACAGGATGTGTTTAGGATCTTTAGTTTGTAGGATTAATAGAAATAGCTACTTTTTAAGATTTTTCTCTCTTGACTGATGTTTGAGTTGCGGCTGACCGTTTCCTGACCAAGCCTCAACCAAGTTTACACATCAACCAGTTAAAACATTTGTCAGCAAATTGATTGCGCCGGTAGCTTTAGGCCACTCCCCCAAATAGGTTTGATTTTACGTCCCGTCCAAGATTATTGCACTTATATAGCGACGTGCAAGCACGTGTGTGTGTGTGTGGCTGCTTGTACTAGTCCGGACTGATGCCGATTTATAGTGCTAGCCCACTGAGATACCATGCCGCAGTTTAACAAGAATACCCCACTCAGACACAGTATATTGACTCCGAGCCGACCAGTCCTTGTTTTAGCCCCTTCATGCCGAGCGCCAGACAGGGTAACAAAAAGTACCATCTTTTAACATCTTTTGGTATGACGCGCCCGGGGATCGAACCCCGGACCTTCCGCTCTCCGGGCGGACGCTCTACCACTAGACCACGGAGGCGGTCTGTTTGTTTTGAAAACCGATTACGGAGCGTGTGGTTTCAGCAATTTCACTTTGACATTTAAATACTTTCTGCGAATGTTATGACTTTTTTGGACTCGGAAATTGACTTGATGGATCTAGGAAAATTGATATTCGCGAGAAAATCGCAATCATTTTAACTTTAATTGCCCTTTAAGCATCTTTACGTGATGGTACTTTTGGGGATGATGGTATCGGGATTGGACTGTTGGGATGATGGGATGATGGGATGATATTGGATACAGTATATTGATCTTTGTCACCAATGCAATGACTGAAATGTCACATGACGTTTCCAGAACTGCTTCAAGTGGGCATCGGCCTACCTGTGCCCCTCCCTGAACATATAAGTGTCCGCCCCGTCTTGTCAGCTGCTACGTCTCTGGACCTTGGTGCTGAAAGTCGTCTCTGTCAGCATTGTGTGGATCAGTTGCTCCTGTAAAGACTTCAACATGCGGTCGCTGTGTTCAAGTAAATGCCGTACTCTACGCCTGACTTTAACAGCAAGTGTGTACTTCATGTTGGAACTTTCCACGTGCACCGCAGGGAAATGTGGACTTCAAACGACTGAGAAAATGACGTTCGGTTCTATCACTATCAGGAACACCGGCATGAAGTTGTGCCAAGTTAGATGTGATGAACATTGCTTCAGTTCCAATTTCGATATCATTCCTGAAATTGAAACCTGTCGTCGATTAGATGATGAATCAAAGAAGGTTGAGAGGGCAGGCGGATCCAGTGTTCTTTCTAAGACTCATGTCGGAGTACGTCATGTGGGTCATATGGGTGTGAGTTAATCTTACCTAGAATAACATGTACTGCACCGAATACCTCTCAAAAAGCGACTATGCTTGTCGTAAGAGGCGACTAACAGGCTCGGGATGTCAGGCTCGTTCAATTGGTGGATAATGTCATCGGTTCCCAATTGTGTGATATCTGGTCCTGACTCGACCGCCGCAATATAGCTGGAATATTGCTGCGTGCGGTGTTAAACAACAAATAAACAAACAATACAAATTCCAGTACAATTTGATTAGATCGAAGTTTACGAGCATATATATGTTATCAGTAAAATGTTTCTTTAAGTAACATTAACGATAAGTTCTAAAAGCATTATGACTGAAAACTTGTTCTCATTTATCATAAGCTAAATATTTGGGCTTGATTAAATCATATATTTTAACTTTGTCACAGCGCCAGTGAGCAACTGTCGATGGATATTAGGCGCTTTACAAATCAATTATTATTATTATTATTATTATTGTTGTTGTTGTTGTTGTTGTTGTTCTTCTTCTTCTTCTTCTATTTATTGGTGTCAACAGATCGGGGCCGGATCCTGTGCATCCAAACAATGCCATCCGTATTACCAATGTTTTGAAAATAAATATGGAAAAGCTTCCTGTCTAAAAGGTAAGTGTCTCAGAGAGTGAGTGAGTGAGTTGGGTTTAACGCCGCTTTTAACAGTATTCCAGTTATATCACGGAGTGTCAGCTTCATGTGGGAGGAAAGCGTCTCAGTGAGAGAATTGTACAAGGTTGATCTTCATGTGGTTTCTACCCGTCTCCATCCCTCAGGGGTGGTGTGGTTGAAACAATACTTGCAGATCAACCTGCGCCATTGTTATACGTCCGTTTTTTGTTCGATTATCTTTCAACTGATTTAAACAACTGGAATGACGAAAGGTTATTCGAAAGTTGAAAGTATCCCAGCTGGCGCTTTGATCAGTCAGTCGCTATTAGCTGTTTTTACAAAGTATCCCACCTGGCCTTGTGATCAGTCAGTCGCTATTAGCTGTTTTTACAAAGTATCCCACCTGGTGCTGTGATCAGTCAGTAGCTATTAGCTGTTTTTACAAAGTATCCCACCTGGTGCTGTGATCAGTCAGTCGCTAATAGCTGTTTTTACAAAGTATCCAACCTGGCCCTGTGATCAGTCAGTCGCTATTAGCTGTTTTTACAAAGTATCCCACCTGGCCTTGTGATCAGTCAGTCGCTATTAGCTGTTTTTACAAAGTATCCCAGCTGGTGCTGTGATCAGTCAGTCGCTATTAGCTGTGTTTACAAAGTATCCGTGCTGGTGCTGTGATCAGTCAGTCGCTATTAGCTGTGTTTACAAAGTATCCCAGCTGGTGCTGTGATCAGTCAGTCGCTATTAGCTGTTTTTACAAAGTATCCCACCTGGCCCTGTGATCAGTCAGTCGCTATTAGCTGTTTTTACAAAGTATCCAACCTGGCCCTCTGATCAGTCAGTCGCTATTAGCTGTTTTTACAAAGTATCCCACCTTGCCCTGTGATCAGTCAGTCGCTATTAGCTGTTTTTACAAAGTATCCCACCTGGTGCTGTGATCAGTCAGTCGCTATTAGCTGTTTTTACAAAGTATCCCACCTGGCCCTGTGATTAGTCAGTCGCTATTAGCTGTTTTTACAAAGTATCCCACCTGGCCCTGTGATCAGTCAGTCGCTATTAGCTGTTTTTACAAAGTATCCCACCTGGCCCTGTGATCAGTCAGTCGCTTTTAAGCTGTTTTTACAAAGTATCCCACCTGGTGCTGTGATCAGTCAGTCGCTATTAGCTGTTTTTACAAAGTATCCAGCCTGGCCCTGTGATTAGTCAGTCGCTATTAGCTGTTTTTACAAAGTATCCAACCTGGCCCTGTGATCAGTCAGTCGCTATTAGCTGTTATTACAAAGTATCCCACCTGGTGCTGTGATCAGTCAGTCGCTATTAGCTGTGTTTACAAAGTATCCCAGCTGGTGCTGTGATCAGTCAGTCGCTATTAGCTGTGTTTACAAAGTATCCCAGCTGGAGCTGTGATCAGTCAGTCGCTATTAGCTGTTTTTACAAAGTATCCCACCTGGTGCTGTGATCAGTCAGTCGCTATTAGCTGTGTTTACAAAGTATCCCAGCTGGAGCTGTGATCAGTCAGTCGCTATTAGCTGTGTTTACAAAGTATCCCACCTGGTGCTGTGATCAGTCAGTCGCTATTAGCTGTTTTTACAAAGTATCCCACCTGGCCTTGTGATCAGTCAGTCGCTATTAGCTGTTTTTACAAAGTATCCCACCTGGTGCTGTGATCAGTCAGTCGCTATTAGCTGTTTTTACAAAGTATCCCACCTGGCCCTGTGATTAGTCAGTCGCTATTAGCTGTGTTTACAAAGTATCCAACCTGGCCCTGTGATCAGTCAGTCGCTATTAGCTGTTTTTACAAAGTATCCCACCTTGCCCTGTGATCAGTCAGTCGCTATTAGCTGTTTTTACAAAGTATCCCACCTGGTGCTGTGATCAGTCAGTCGCTATTAGCTGTTTTTACAAAGTATCCCACCTGGCCCTGTGATTAGTCAGTCGCTATTAGCTGTTTTTACAAAGTATCCCACCTGGCCCTGTGATCAGTCAGTCGCTATTAGCTGTTTTTACAAAGTATCCAACCTGGCCCTCTGATCAGTCAGTCGCTATTAGCTGTTTTTACAAAGTATCCCACCTGGTGCTGTGATCAGTCAGTCGCTATTAGCTGTTTTTACAAAGTATCCCACCTGGCCCTGTGATCAGTCAGTCGCTATTAGCTGTTTTTACAAAGTATCCCACCTGGTGCTGTGATCAGTCAGTCGCTATTAGCTGTTTTTACAAAGTATCCCACCTGGCCCTGTGATTAGTCAGTCGCTATTAGCTGTGTTTACAAAGTATCCAACCTGGCCCTGTGATCAGTCAGTCGCTATTAGCTGTTTTTACAAAGTATCCCACCTTGCCCTGTGATCAGTCAGTCGCTATTAGCTGTTTTTACAAAGTATCCCACCTGGTGCTGTGATCAGTCAGTCGCTATTAGCTGTTTTTACAAAGTATCCCACCTGGCCCTGTGATTAGTCAGTCGCTATTAGCTGTTTTTACAAAGTATCCAACCTGGCCCTGTGATCAGTCAGTCGCTATTAGCTGTTTTTACAAAGTATCCCACCTGGCCCTGTGATCAGTCAGTCGCTTTTAAGCTGTTTTTACAAAGTATCCCACCTGGTGCTGTGATCAGTCAGTAGCTATTAGCTGTTTTTACAATGTATCCCACCTGGTGCTGTGATCAGTCAGTCGCTAATAGCTGTTTTTACAACGTATCCAACCTGGCCCTGTGATCAGTCAGTCGCTATTAGCTGTTTTTACAAAGTATCCCAGCTGGTGCTGTGATCAGTCAGTCGCTATTAGCTGTGTTTACAAAGTATCCCAGCTGGTGCTGTGATCAGTCAGTCGCTATTAGCTGTGTTTACAAAGTATCCCAGCTGGAGCTGTGATCAGTCAGTCGCTATTAGCTGTTTTTACAAAGTATCCCACCTGGCCCTGTGATCAGTCAGTCGCTATTAGCTGTTTTTACAAAGTATCCAACCTGGCCCTCTGATCAGTCAGTCGCTATTAGCTGTTTTTACAAAGTATCCCACCTGGTGCTGTGATCAGTCAGTCGCTATTAGCTGTTTTTACAAAGTATCCCACCTGGCCTTGTGATCAGTCAGTCGCTATTAGCTGTTTTTACAAAGTATCCCACCTGGTGCTGTGATCAGTCAGTCGCTATTAGCTGTTTTTACAAAGTATCCCACCTGGCCCTGTGATTAGTCAGTCGCTATTAGCTGTTTTTACAAAGTATCCAACCTGGCCCTGTGATCAGTCAGTCGCTATTAGCTGTTTTTACAAAGTATCCCACCTTGCCCTGTGATCAGTCAGTCGCTATTAGCTGTTTTTACAAAGTATCCCACCTGGTGCTGTGATCAGTCAGTCGCTATTAGCTGTTTTTACAAAGTATCCCACCTGGCCCTGTGATTAGTCAGTCGCTATTAGCTGTTTTTACAAAGTATCCCACCTGGCCCTGTGATCAGTCAGTCGCTATTAGCTGTTTTTACAAAGTATCCCACCTGGCCCTGTGATCAGTCAGTCGCTTTTAAGCTGTTTTTACAAAGTATCCCACCTGGTGCTGTGATCAGTCAGTCGCTATTAGCTGTTTTTACAAAGTATCCAGCCTGGCCCTGTGATTAGTCAGTCGCTATTAGCTGTGTTTACAAAGTATCCAACCTGGCCCTGTGATCAGTCAGTCGCTATTAGCTGTTATTACAAAGTATCCCACCTGGTGCTGTGATCAGTCAGTCGCTATTAGCTGTGTTTACAAAGTATCCCAGCTGGTGCTGTGATCAGTCAGTCGCTATTAGCTGTGTTTACAAAGTATCCCACCTGGTGCTGTGATCAGTCAGTCGCTATTAGCTGTTTTTACAAAGTATCCCACCTGGCCCTGTGATCAGTAAGTCGCTATTAGCTGTTTTTACAAAGTATCCCACCTGGTGCTGTGATCAGTCAGTCGCTATTAGCTGTTATTACAAAGTATCCCACCTGGCCCTGTGATTAGTCAGTCGCTATTAGCTGTTCTGTTGTAGCGCCACGGAGACACTCCCGACGATTTCGAAGAGAGGACGTCAAACTGCTCAAGGCTTGCAAGTATGGGACTCTAGACAATGTAAGACAAATCGTGTCTCGGGACCGGGCTAATATCAACTATAGAGGTCCCCTTGGGCTGACACCATTGATGAATGCGGCACAACGGAAAGGGATGCAAGACATGATAGAGTTTCTGGTGAGGATTGGGGCTAATGCATCAGTCATTGATGCCAACGGTGACACCATCCTCCATCATGCTTGCGTTGGAGCAGATGAGGAGACAGTGAAATATTTCATCTCACAGGACATTGTAGACATCAACTGTAGAGGGTACCACGGCAGGACACCGGTGATGAATGCAGCCGAAGCGGGGAGTGTTGAAGTGGTTAAGCTACTGGTGAGTGAAGGAGCCGATTTGTCACTCGTCGATACCGAAGGCAGCACCATCCTTCATGGGGTCTGTCGTAGAGGGCACTCGGAGGTGGCGTCGTATATTCTCACACAGAACAGGATAGACATCAATGCCAGGGATATGGCGGGGAGGACACCGCTGGACTTGGCGAAAAGTAAAGATATGCATGATCTTCTTGTATCACATGGCGCTCACCATATGTAACTGCAGTGTTTGTGTAGACACTAGGGGAGATGATGTTGTCGTATACATTGACGTGCTCTGTGGTGAGGTGAGGTGAGGTGAGGTGAGGAGAGGAGAGGAGAGGAGAGGAGAGGAGAGGAGAGGAGAGGAGAGGAGAGGAGAGGATCTCTGTGACTGATTTATGCCGGGTTTTTCGTGCTACCCCACTCAGACACAGTATACTGACTCCGAGCCGACCAGTCCTCGTTTTTGTCTCCTTAATGTCGAGCGCCAGGCAGGGTAACAACAAGTACCACCTTTTATACGTCTATTGGGATGACGCGGCCGGGATATGGAACCTGATTAAATCATATATTTTAACTTTGTCACAGCGCCAGTGAGCAACTGTCGATGGATATTAGGCGCTTTACAAATCAATTATTATTATTATTATTATTATTGTTGTTGTTGTTGTTGTTGTTGTTGTTCTTCTTCTTCTATTTATTGGTGTCAACAGATCGGGGCCGGATCCTGTGCATCCAAACAATGCCATCCGTATTACCAATGTTTTGAAAATAAATATGGAAAAGCTTCCTGTCTAAAAGGTAAGTGTCTCAGAGAGTGAGTGAGTGAGTTGGGTTTAACGCCGCTTTTAACAGTATTCCAGTTATATCACGGAGTGTCAGCTTTATGTGGGAGGAAAGCGTCTCAGTGAGAGAATTGTACAAGGTTGATCTTCATGTGGTTTCTACCCGTCTCCATCCCTCAGGGGTGGTGTGGTTGAAACAATACTTGCAGATCAACCTGCGCCATTGTTATACGTCCGTTTTTTGTTCGATTATCTTTCAACTGATTTAAACAACTGGAATGACGAAAGGTTATTCGAAAGTTGAAAGTATCCCAGCTGGCGCTTTGATCAGTCAGTCGCTATTAGCTGTTTTTACAAAGTATCCCACCTGGCCTTGTGATCAGTCAGTCGCTATTAGCTGTTTTTACAAAGTATCCCACCTGGTGCTGTGATCAGTCAGTAGCTATTAGCTGTTTTTACAAAGTATCCCACCTGGTGCTGTGATCAGTCAGTCGCTAATAGCTGTTTTTACAAAGTATCCAACCTGGCCCTGTGATCAGTCAGTCGCTATTAGCTGTTTTTACAAAGTATCCCACCTGGCCTTGTGATCAGTCAGTCGCTATTAGCTGTTTTTACAAAGTATCCCAGCTGGTGCTGTGATCAGTCAGTCGCTATTAGCTGTGTTTACAAAGTATCCGTGCTGGTGCTGTGATCAGTCAGTCGCTATTAGCTGTGTTTACAAAGTATCCCAGCTGGTGCTGTGATCAGTCAGTCGCTATTAGCTGTTTTTACAAAGTATCCCACCTGGCCCTGTGCTCAGTCAGTCGCTATTAGCTGTTTTTACAAAGTATCCAACCTGGCCCTCTGATCAGTCAGTCGCTATTAGCTGTTTTTACAAAGTATCCCACCTGGTGCTGTGATCAGTCAGTCGCTATTAGCTGTTTTTACAAAGTATCCCACCTGGTGCTGTGATCAGTCAGTCGCTATTAGCTGTTTTTACAAAGTATCCCACCTGGTGCTGTGATCAGTCAGTCGCTATTAGCTGTTTTTACAAAGTATCCCACCTGGCCTTGTGATCAGTCAGTCGCTATTAGCTGTTTTTACAAAGTATCCCACCTTGTGCTGTGATCAGTCAGTCGCTATTAGCTGTGTTTACAAAGTATCCAACCTGGCCCTGTGATCAGTCAGTCGCTATTAGCTGTTTTTACAAAGTATCCCACCTTGCCCTGTGATCAGTCAGTCGCTATTAGCTGTTTTTACAAAGTATCCCACCTGGTGCTGTGATCAGTCAGTCGCTATTAGCTGTTTTTACAAAGTATCCCACCTGGCCCTGTGATTAGTCAGTCGCTATTAGCTGTTTTTACAAAGTATCCCACCTGGCCCTGTGATCAGTCAGTCGCTATTAGCTGTTTTTACAAAGTATCCAACCTGGCCCTCTGATCAGTCAGTCGCTATTAGCTGTTTTTACAAAGTATCCCACCTGGTGCTGTGATTAGTCAGTCGCTATTAGCTGTTTTTACAAAGTATCCCACCTGGCCCTGTGATCAGTCAGTCGCTATTAGCTGTTTTTACAAAGTATCCCACCTGGTGCTGTGATCAGTCAGTCGCTATTAGCTGTTTTTACAAAGTATCCCACCTGGCCCTGTGATTAGTCAGTCGCTATTAGCTGTGTTTACAAAGTATCCAACCTGGCCCTGTGATCAGTCAGTCGCTATTAGCTGTTTTTACAAAGTATCCCACCTTGCCCTGTGATCAGTCAGTCGCTATTAGCTGTTTTTACAAAGTATCCCACCTGGTGCTGTGATCAGTCAGTCGCTATTAGCTGTTTTTACAAAGTATCCCACCTGGCCCTGTGATTAGTCAGTCGCTATTAGCTGTTTTTACAAAGTATCCAACCTGGCCCTGTGATCAGTCAGTCGCTATTAGCTGTTTTTACAAAGTATCCCACCTGGCCCTGTGATCAGTCAGTCGCTTTTAAGCTGTTTTTACAAAGTATCCCACCTGGTGCTGTGATCAGTCAGTAGCTATTAGCTGTTTTTACAATGTATCCCACCTGGTGCTGTGATCAGTCAGTCGCTAATAGCTGTTTTTACAACGTATCCAACCTGGCCCTGTGATCAGTCAGTCGCTATTAGCTGTTTTTACAAAGTATCCCAGCTGGTGCTGTGATCAGTCAGTCGCTATTAGCTGTGTTTACAAAGTATCCCAGCTGGTGCTGTGATCAGTCAGTCGCTATTAGCTGTGTTTACAAAGTATCCCAGCTGGAGCTGTGATCAGTCAGTCGCTATTAGCTGTTTTTACAAAGTATCCCACCTGGCCCTGTGATCAGTCAGTCGCTATTAGCTGTTTTTACAAAGTATCCAACCTGGCCCTCTGATCAGTCAGTCGCTATTAGCTGTTTTTACAAAGTATCCCAGCTGGTGCTGTGATCAGTCAGTCGCTATTAGCTGTTTTTACAAAGTATCCCACCTGGCCTTGTGATCAGTCAGTCGCTATTAGCTGTTTTTACAAAGTATCCCACCTGGTGCTCTGATCAGTCAGTCGCTATTAGCTGTTTTTACAAAGTATCCCACCTGGCCCTGTGATTAGTCAGTCGCTATTAGCTGTTTTTACAAAGTATCCAACCTGGCCCTGTGATCAGTCAGTCGCTATTAGCTGTTTTTACAAAGTATCCCACCTTGCCCTGTGATCAGTCAGTCGCTATTAGCTGTTTTTACAAAGTATCCGTGCTGGTGCTGTGATCAGTCAGTCGCTATTAGCTGTTTTTACAAAGTATCCCACCTGGCCCTGTGATTAGTCAGTCGCTATTAGCTGTTTTTACAAAGTATCCCACCTGGCCCTGTGATCAGTCAGTCGCTATTAGCTGTTTTTACAAAGTATCCCACCTGGCCCTGTGATCAGTCAGTCGCTTTTAAGCTGTTTTTACAAAGTATCCCACCTGGTGCTGTGATCAGTCAGTCGCTATTAGCTGTTTTTACAAAGTATCCAGCCTGGCCCTGTGATTAGTCAGTCGCTATTAGCTGTTTTTACAAAGTATCCAACCTGGCCCTGTGATCAGTCAGTCGCTATTAGCTGTTATTACAAAGTATCCCAGCTGGTGCTGTGATCAGTCAGTCGCTATTAGCTGTGTTTACAAAGTATCCCAGCTGGTGCTGTGATCAGTCAGTCGCTATTAGCTGTGTTTACAAAGTATCCCACCTGGTGCTGTGATCAGTCAGTCGCTATTAGCTGTTTTTACAAAGTATCCCACCTGGCCCTGTGATCAGTAAGTCGCTATTAGCTGTTTTTACAAAGTATCCCACCTGGTGCTGTGATCAGTCAGTCGCTATTAGCTGTTATTACAAAGTATCCCACCTGGCCCTGTGATTAGTCAGTCGCTATTAGCTGTTCTGTTGTAGCGCCACGGAGACACTCCCGACGATTTCGAAGAGAGGACGTCAAACTGCTCAAGGCTTGCAAGTATGGGACTCTAGACAATGTAAGACAAATCGTGTCTCGGGACCGGGCTAATATCAACTATAGAGGTCCCCTTGGGCTGACACCATTGATGAATGCGGCACAACGGAAAGGGATGCAAGACATGATAGAGTTTCTGGTGAGGATTGGGGCTAATGCATCAGTCATTGATGCCAACGGTGACACCATCCTCCATCATGCTTGCGTTGGAGCAGATGAGGAGACAGTGAAATATTTCATCTCACAGGACATTGTAGACATCAACTGTAGAGGGTACCACGGCAGGACACCGGTGATGAATGCAGCCGAAGCGGGGAGTGTTGAAGTGGTTAAGCTACTGGTGAGTGAAGGAGCCGATTTGTCACTCGTCGATACCGAAGGCAGCACCATCCTTCATGGGGTCTGTCGTAGAGGGCACTCGGAGGTGGCGTCGTATATTCTCACACAGAACAGGATAGACATCAATGCCAGGGATATGGCGGGGAGGACACCGCTGGACTTGGCGAAAAGTAAAGATATGCATGATCTTCTTGTATCACATGGCGCTCACCATATGTAACTGCAGTGTTTGTGTAGACACTAGGGGAGATGATGTTGTCGTATACATTGACGTGCTCTGTGGTGAGGTGAGGTGAGGTGAGGTGAGGAGAGGAGAGGAGAGGAGAGGAGAGGAGAGGAGAGGAGAGGAGAGGAGAGGAGAGGATCTCTGTGACTGATTTATGCCGGGTTTTTCGTGCTACCCCACTCAGACACAGTATACTGACTCCGAGCCGACCAGTCCTCGTTTTTGTCTCCTTAATGTCGAGCGCCAGGCAGGGTAACAACAAGTACCACCTTTTATACGTCTATTGGGATGACGCGGCCGGGATATGGAACCTCTAACTTCTCTCTGCGGGCAGACGCTTTACCCCAAGACCACGGAGGCAGTGATATGTCACGTGTCGCGCACATCGTGTTGTAAAAGTATGTCATAATTAAGGTTAGAATATTTGTTTGTGTTTGAAAAGAAATACCATTTGTTACTTTTGTTCTATAGCCATTTAGTCCATTTTGTGTGAATTATATGACATAATCACTCGTTAATTAATTAAATATGCAAAAGACAAAAAACAAAGTGTTTCTTTTACCTTCACTGTTATATTAATAGCCATTTATATTGCGCTTGTCCATGCTGGATGCTGAAAGCGCACCATTATCAACCCGCTCATTGGATCAGTGTACATTCGAATTTCTTTCTCAGCTTCCTGGGGAGTATACAATCCAAAGTAGAAGCTTAACATTCACATTTTCGTCTCCTGTCTGGCACTATGCTGTACGAACAGAAATCTATTTCTCAGCTTCCTGGGGAGTATACAATCCAAGTAGAAGCTTAACATTCACATTTTCGTCTCCTGTCTGGCACTATGCTGTACGAACAGAAATCTATTTCTCAGCTTCCTGGGGAGTATACAATCCAAGTAGAAGCTTAACATTCACATTTTCGTCTCCTGTCTGGCCCTATGCTGTACGAACAGAAATCTATTTCTCAGCTTCCTGGGGAGTATACAATCCAAGTAGAAGCTTAACATTCACATTTTCGTCTCCTGTCTGGCACTATGCTGTACGAACAGAAATCTATTTCTCAGCTTCCTGGGGAGTATACAATCCAAGTAGAAGCTTAACATTCACATTTTCGTCTCCTGTCTGGCACTATGCTGTACGAACAGAAATCTATTTCTCAGCTTCCTGGGGAGTATACAATCCATATAGAAGCTTAACATTCACATTTCCGTCTCCTGTCTGGCACTATGCTGTACGAACAGAAATCTATTTCTCAGCTTCCTGGGGAGTATACAATCCAAGTAGAAGCTTAACATTCCCATTTTCGTCTCCTGTCTGGCACTATGCTGTACGAACAGAAATCTATTTCTCAGCTTCCTGGGGAGTATACAATCCAAGTAGAAGCTTAACATTCCCATTTTCGTCTCCTGTCTGGCACTATGCTGTACGAACAGAAATCTATTTCTCAGCTTCCTGGGGAGTATACAATCCAAGTAGAAGCTTAACATTCACATTTTCGTCTCCTGTCTGGCACTATGCTGTACGAACAGAAATCTATTTCTCAGCTTCCTGGGGAATATACAATCCAAGTAGAAGCTTAACATTCCCATTTTCGTCTCCTGTCTGGCACTATGCTGTACGAACAGAAATCTATTTCTCAGCTTCCTGGGGAGTATACAATCCAAGTAGAAGCTTAACATTCACATTTTCGTCTCCTGTCTGGCACTATGCTGTACGAACAGAAATCTATTTCTCAGCTTCCTGGGGAGTATACAATCCAAGTAGAAGCTTAACATTCCCATTTTCGTCTCCTGTCTGGCACTATGCTGTACGAACAGAAATCTATTTCTCAGCTTCCTGGGGAGTATACAATCCAAGTAGAAGCTTAACATTCCCATTTTCGTCTCCTGTCTGGCACTATGCTGTACGAACAGAAATCTATTTCTCAGCTTCCTGGGGAGTATACAATCCAAGTAGAAGCTTAACATTCCCATTTTCGTCTCCTGTCTGGCACTATGCTGTACGAACAGAAATCTATTTCTCAGCTTCCTGGGGAGTATACAATCCAAGTAGAAGCTTAACATTCACATTTTCGTCTCCTGTCTGGCACTATGCTGTACGAACAGAAATCTATTTCTCAGCTTCCTGGGGAGTATACAATCCAAGTAGAAGCTTAACATTCACATTTTCGTCTCCTGTCTGGCCCTATGCTGTACGAACAGAAATCTATTTCTCAGCTTCCTGGGGAGTATACAATCCAAGTAGAAGCTTAACATTCCCATTTTCGTCTCCTGTCTGGCACTATGCTGTACGAACAGAAATCTATTTCTCAGCTTCCTGGGGAGTATACAATCCAAGTAGAAGCTTAACATTCACATTTTCGTCTCCTGTCTGGCACTATGCTGTACGAACAGAAATCTATTTCTCAGCTTCCTGGGGAGTATACAATCCATATAGAAGCTTAACATTCACATTTCCGTCTCCTGTCTGGCACTATGCTGTACGAACAGAAATCTATTTCTCAGCTTCCTGGGGAGTATACAATCCAAGTAGAAGCTTAACATTCCCATTTTCGTCTCCTGTCTGGCACTATGCTGTACGAACAGAAATCTATTTCTCAGCTTCCTGGGGAGTATACAATCCAAGTAGAAGCTTAACATTCCCATTTTCGTCTCCTGTCTGGCACTATGCTGTACGAACAGAAATCTATTTCTCAGCTTCCTGGGGAGTATACAATCCAAGTAGAAGCTTAACATTCCCATTTTCGTCTCCTGTCTGGCACTATGCTGTACGAACAGAAATCTATTTCTCAGCTTCCTGGGGAGTATACAATCCAAGTAGAAGCTTAACATTCCCATTTTCGTCTCCTGTCTGGCACTATGCTGTACGAACAGAAATCTATTTCTCAGCTTCCTGGGGAGTATACAATCCAAGTAGAAGCTTAACATTCCCATTTTCGTCTCCTGTCTGGCACTATGCTGTACGAACAGAAATCTATTTCTCAGCTTCCTGGGGAGTATACAATCCAAGTAGAAGCTTAACATTCACATTTTCGTCTCCTGTCTGGCACTATGCTGTACGAACAGAAATCTATTTCTCAGCTTCCTGGGGAGTATACAATCCAAGTAGAAGCTTAACATTCCCATTTTCGTCTCCTGTCTGGCACTATGCTGTACGAACAGAAATCTATTTCTCAGCTTCCTGGGGAGTATACAATCCAAGTAGAAGCTTAACATTCCCATTTTCGTCTCCTGTCTGGCACTATGCTGTACGAACAGAAATCTATTTCTCAGCTTCCTGGGGAGTATACAATCCAAGTAGAAGCTTAACATTCACATTTTCGTCTCCTGTCTGGCACTATGCTGTACGAACAGAAATCTATTTCGAACAAAGTCACTTAAAGGAGAGTCACCACATGACGAGTTTGGCCCAGTTGTTGTCCTGTTGCGTACAATCTGGGATCTAGGAATATCTGCCCCGCCCATCCAAGGGCAGACAACACCCTTACAAAAGCAAGCAAATACCATAAAAATAACCAAAGCTCGACAATGCGACAAGCAACATTTCGATGACCTTGAAAAAGGTCGCGTTGTCGCACTGGAAAAAAGATATATTAAAAGCGCGACAATGGACAACACGACAATACGATAAATGATCAAAATGACGCATTTTCGCGCTTGGTTAATTTTGATAGTTCTTGCTTGTTTTTGTAAGGGCGACAACGCGACAATGCCATATATAGGTATATGTTTCTGATATATGCGAACAGAGATACACAATGGTCAATTTACGCCTCACTTCAGAGTTACGCAAGATCGCCGTCATATAGTTTGAATATTGCTGAGTGCTGATTAAAAAAACAAAACAACAACAAACATCATAAATAAATATACTGAACCATTTAAAAATTAATTATGACAGATTCCTAAACACATTGTTTAAAGTTTAAAGTCACATTAAACAAATAAGCACAAATGAAGCATTCTCCGATTAACCATTAAGCATGTAAACAGTTTTCGCAAATGTAGCATATGTTTGATAGAAATACTTGTATAACTTTTCCTTACACCCTACACTTTTCATGACATTTATTCACTGATGTCATTATATAAAACGCAGAAATAATACAAATGCCTCGTTCTCATTTCCTTCAGAATAATAAGGGCCGGTCGGGTAGCCTAATGGTTAAAGCGTTCGCTCGTCACGCCGAATACCCGGGTTCGATTCCCGACATGGGTACAATGTGTGAAGCTCATTTCTGGTGTCCCCCGCCGTGATATTGCTGGAATATTGCTAAAAGCGGCGTAAAACCATTCTCACTCACTCAGGTATTTTGGTATCTGAATATTACTGAGCGAAGTTACCTGAAGATTCTACGGAGATGCACCTTTTTAATGTACATTTTAATAATGTGCATGTATATAATGCGCCAAATCCACACCCCAAAGCATGCTTAAAGCGCTACATTTCTACTCCGGTCCATGGATCAGTGTGCGCACGATGATTTATTGTCATCTCCCTGGGGAGTATACAATTTACGATGTCTGTAAGGTAAACAGTTACACTACCATCTCACCCTTCCGGGTACCCACTCACTGCTGGGTGAACGAAGACACATTTCGAACAGTCACTTGTCTAAGGAGACACAACATGTGCTACATGTGCTTCAGTGTGAGACAGGATTGAGCCCTAGAAACTCTCAAGAAGGAAGCATCCGAGCATGGTCACCCATCCAACTACACTCCGTGACCAATAATGCTTACAACCCATGCTTGCCGTAAAAGGTGACTATTCTTGTCGTAAAAGGCGACTAACGGGATCGGGTGGTCAGGCTCGCTGACTTGGTTGATGCATGTCATCGATCCCAATTACGTGGATCGATGCTCATGATATTAATCACTGGATTGTCTGGTCCAGACTTGATTATTTACAGACCGCCGTTATATAGCTGGATTATTGCTGAGTGCGGCGTTAAACAACAAACCAAAACCAAACCAATATTGCTTAACGCTATTGGAG